TGCTTCATGGCTTCCGGAACCTGTTCCAGGGACACTGGGTGGTCATTGTCACTCTTGTCAATTGGCATGGTCTATAATGATATGTTCAAAAAATTCTGAAAATTTGAATATGCCGCATGACTAGTTTCTGCTGAAACTAGAGAATGGCCTTTTCCTCAGGGGCGTCCTGAACCTGTTCCAAGGACATTGGGTGGTAATTTTTTTGGAAATTGGCATGCTCTCTAATGAATTGTCCATGAATTTCTGAAAATTTTGATGTGCCGCACGTCTGGTTTTGTTGAAATCAGAGATCGGCCACATCTACCGGGGCTTCCGGAATCTGTTCCAGGGACATAGGGTGGCCATTGTCACTCTTGTCATTTGGTATAGTCTCTAATGACATGTCCATCAAATTCTGAAAATTTTGATATGTCGCATGGCTAGTTTTTGTTTAAATTAGAGGATGGCCACTTCCTCCGGGGCTTGTGGAACCTGTTCCAGGGACATTGGATGCCATTGTCACTCTAGTCAATTAGCATGGTGTCTAATGGCATGTTCATCAATTTCTGAAAATCTTGATGGACTGCACGTCTGGTTCTGTTGAAATCAAAGATTGGCCACTTCCTCTGAGGTTTCCGGAACCTGTTCCAGGGACTTTGGGTGGTCCATTCTGGAATTCATCTATGCCATCTTTCAGTTCTTATCTAAACCTGCAACTTTGCAGAACATTATTTGGTTCTATCTTATTGTCTGAGTTTCGTAAAAAGCGTTGGTACCCGGGTACCCCGTCACCCGTTTGAGGGGTACAAATAGTACATAGCCCCTGATGCGCCCCTCCTTCCTTGAAATTTCACCAGATCGTTTGTGTTAGCATTTTACAAGATGTCAGAAAGCTTCATAACGATAAACATCACGTACATGATTTTATTTCAATTCAAATATCAAAATGGGTACCCGGGTACCCCGTGACCCACATAAGGGTTAAAATCAGAGTTTGACCACTCCCCGGGGCTTCCGGAACCTGTTCTGGGGACAATGAGCGGTCCATTCCAAAATGTATGTAGGCCATAGTTTAGTCATCTAATCTACAACTTTGCAGAACATTGTTTAGTTCTATCTTATTGTCTGAGCTTCGCAATAAGCTTGGGTACCCGGGTACCCCGTCACCCTTTTACGGGTGGAAAAATCGTCACGCACATAAGGGTTAAAGCAAAAAGGCACTTTACTGTTTGACACAAAAACTAACCAACTGACAACTCGCTACTATAGACCTTTTTGAGCTTTAATCGTCTTTCTCTATCTAGCACACATGGATGAATACACGGTTTGTTTTCCCACTAATCTGTTTCCCTCTTGCTCGCACTCGTTCGATTTAAATGGTGCAATAGTGTGCGCCGATTAAACGTCAAACAGCTCTATACAAAATACCACCAAGGGGCGCTAAGATGGGGATTTGAAATGCAGATTACGAATATGCAATTACCCTAATACCCCTGAAGAAACCAATTCAACGAGGGATGCGACACATCCCAATCCCAATTTTAGATGGTCGAAAAATCTCACGCTAGCGAATCAATCTACGAAAAATCTTGTTTCATCTCTTGCATCTAGATCCATCTACTCGCATCGCTCTCCATCATTTTGCACGAAATCTTCAAAATCGACATCAATCTTCTTTCTATCTATTAAGCGTGCACGCATCTCACAACAGCAAAGCGAAAATTGACCTGCATCTTAGATAGAGACGCCCCCCTCGCAATTTAATTGAAAATCTCAAGTAGCCATTAGGTTCTTTAGGGGTATTGAGGTCACTCTTTTGTATGCGAGCGGGCTTTCAATTTGTACGTTTTGATTTTAAAATCGAAATGGAAGTCTATGGGTTCGGAAAAAGATGTCGTTGAACTCAGAAATCGAAGCTCTTTTCTGATGATGTTTGGTAACCGACGTTTATAAACACAATACACGTTTTATCTTCCGCTATCCAAAAAGCCTCCTCCATCAGAACTGGAGCCGCTTCCAGTAGTGTCATTTTATGGCAGTTACGCCAACGAGGGTCAGAGCGCGTCCATTGCAGCAATGGACGCAAAACGTGGTCAGCACTCACACACTCATCACGAAACGGTTGCTTTCCAAAGTCGACGACGCATCGACCGAAAGAACTGCTGATGAAGAACAATGAGGAGTACCACACATTGGTTGCTGCCGAGTAAACAGACGATCGCGTGACACACATTGAGAGTGGTCTGCTTCTGTCGGCAGCCCATCTGAGTGAACACTGTTATCATAGCCTTGTAGCTCATGATTTTGAGTTGTAGAGTGCTTGAAAACCATGATAAAACTTACAATGTTGGGATGGCTTCCATCGATCACAAATCAATTTGATTCACTTGAAACAGCTCCAGCCGCATCAGTCAAAATTTGGCAAAATCTTGCCCCTGTCGATGGATTCAAGGAATATTGTGTAAATTCATACTTAGTAAGAAGCCGCATGTAAACTGTGGCTCAGTTTTCCATTTTCCCCCTGAAAGCATTTAATTCATTCCAAATTTAATCCCATCATGTATACAAAGTTTTCTCTACTCGAAGCTCAGAATCGCTCCCCCGGAACAAGCTAATCTAAATGCCTGTACCAACACACGTACACAAATCACACGAGCAGGGATGACTCCAGCGGGAGTCACAATTTCCACCTTTTCCATCACGCCTCCAGCTGAACTGATGTCAACCGGAGCTCCACTGGATCCACAAAGGTGTACTCCAGCTCCCTGTCCCCGGTAGCTCTTCTGCTCTACTGTTGATCGATGGAACCAATATTCGATACGTGTTCTCGGTTTGAAACTGCTTCCAGGCATCGTTCGCTGAGATTAGCAATATAGCTTCCGACGTTTTCCAGTGGTTGAATTTTTCGCATTTTCCGAAAATTTTCCATCGACCGGCACTCACGTCGTCGTGTCATGAGATGGCAAAATTTACACCAGGACAAAGTTCGATCAGCTCTTACGGATATCTCTACCCGTCTAGCCTTTGGATTTTGCTACATGGTGATGACGGCGGCGGCGGCGGCGGCGGTGCCTCTAACAGATCAAAAGGTTCTATCAGTTTTCAATATAGCGCCGTTCGAACGTCGTCGTCGTCGTCGATGTCCTTGGTGGTTGGTGGAGGTGGCGATAGAGGTTTGACATAGTTGATGACACTCTTTCCCGGGATTGGAACTCATTAAGTTTTCCCCGTTCGCTCTTGCCATTATCGGTACGAACGTTGATGTATGCTACATATGAGTCTATGGCAAAACTTAAATGAAATTTGAACGTACAAATGGATTCAACCTCGGCAAAAACAACAAATTCAAATGCCATTCCACCAGTTATTTCAATGTCACGTTAATGTTTTTGGGACAACTCCATCGGAAAACTGCATCCGCCCATTTGGCGCCAGTAACATTTTCCCGTGACCGCGAAAATACTTGAAAACAAATCTAAAGAGAACGAGAGAGCGAGAGGAAGAAAAAAAGTTCAAGCAATTGCAGGACACTTGTCAGCGATGATTTACGAGCGAACTTTTCTGTCACTACCCTTTCCATCTCCATGACGACGACTACCAAGACGACGACGACGGCGACGAGAAAAATGATCTCTACTTTTGCCGTGGCGAATTTCTCGCGCACCAATGGCTAATTAAACTGCATCCGGTTTGCGATGCGCTGCTCTGTGCTCTGTGTGTGATATTTGCGAATTGAATGTCAAATTTGACGGAAAGTGTGCAACGCTTCATTTATTATTGACCACCGCTGCCAAAAAAAACCGTGCATTCTACGATGCGGATTTTGAACTTTTCATCGCCTGCTGCGGCCCTGACGGAAAAGAGTGATGCCTCTACGTGTAAATGTGAGGCAACAAAATACAAAAACAAAACAAAAAAATGCTCGTTTTTCGCTGGCTTGTTTTTCTATCAGAACAACACTTCTCGAGGGAATATGCAGAGCAAAACACGCATCAAAATGAGGAGTTTATGTTTACACTTCATTTTCGGATTCGGTTCGGCTTTCTGCGGGTGAAAGGGGGGAGGATTTGATGTTTTGGCGTCTCCCACTGGGGCTAATTTTCAGCGGCGGTAGATTTTTTTCTCTCGTTCTTCAGTCAGGTTACGGTGCGTCAACGGTGAGATTTTTAGCGATTCCATACATTCGAGGAGTCCAGTTAGAGATGCAAAATCAAGCGGTAAGTCACAGTGTGCCGAAAGTTGATTCAGCTCAGCTTGGGCACATCCATCGGCACACCTTAAGCACGATTTCGTAGGCATTGGATTTTTTATTAAATAAAATGGGAGCACTGCTGGACAGCTGTCATTGAAGTTGTTCAAAACATTTCGTGCTGTTGACTACGTATTTCAGAAAAAAATATTCTGAATGTGTATACTAGAGGAATTCACTCCTCAGTTCACATTTAAATTCGAAACGTAGGCTTCCGAGGGCTGTCGATTGCTATCGATGCCTGTCACAAGTCTTTCAGATACAACGCAAATGGAGTGTACTACGAACAGGAATGCATGAACAATTGGGATGGATTGGATCATGCAGTGGTGGCGGTTGGATACGGAAAACTCAAAGGAGAAGATTACTAGCTAATCAAGAACTCCTGGTTCAACTACCGGGCAACGATGGATATGCTTCGATGGCGGTGAAGGGTAGCAACTGCGGCCTTACCACCGATGCGTCGTATGTTAGTTTGAAGTAAGATTTCTATTTTCGGATATGTGTCATCTCGTTTGCTCTCTAAATGGTTATAGATTTTTGTCAAATTTAAAAATGTTATTATTTAATTAGGTTTAATAGAAGCAATAAAAAATCCGTGTGATTGAGCCATGAAAAGCAGTTCGGTATTGTTCAAATGAGTTTTGTGTGGTAGACCAATTGACCGAGTGCTGGTGATTTGCTGCTGAAAAGTAGGGTCGTTACAAGGCCGAACTACTTTTCACGGCATAATCACATGGAATTGTTATTGCTTCCACTCAACGTAATTAACTTACAACTTACTCGAATTCTTCCGGAACTCCAACCCGATGGCATAATCCATTCCGAAGTCGAAAACCTCCGAGAGCTTCTTGTCCGGAATCATCATCTTCAGCAGTTCCTCTTCCAGATTGAGCAGAAAGGTGTAGTGCTTCTGAATCGGTTGCGTAGGATTGACGAGCAACGTTCGGATGACATTGGAGCAGTAGGACTTGTAACGCGCACCCAGAGCACAGATGATCGATCCGAAGTGCAGATAGCTCTTGTCGCTGAATGCACTGAACTTCAAGCTGTAATCGCCAGCCGATTGGATAATCGCCGGGTAGCACATGTCCAACTAGTTGGTATCCACACCGGAGACGTACCTTTTGTCCGTCCGAGCCTGCTCGACACCCTCCGACAGTTTGGCATGTTTTACTTTCTCATCAGCTTCGATAATCTCCATGATGTGATTCTTGAGGTACTTTTTGAATACGTCTACCGTCACCAGGAAGGCCTTCTTGATGGTGATTACCTCAGAGTCCTCCTTAGAGCGCATGATCTACCTGATTGGGACGCTGATGTCCACCGTGTCGAAACTCTTATCGTTGACGAAGGCTCACCACGATTCAAATAATTCACCCGGGAAGTTGCCCTTAGAGAAGACGCCCAGCAGATTTCCAAATTGACCTTGTCTTCATCGTTCTTATCCCGAACCAGCAGCTTCCACACCGTCCTTCTCGATCTGCTTAAAGAAGTAGACCTTATTGCTGGTCAGGAAAAAGATGAACCTTTCGCACAGCACCGTAGTCGTATAGGTCAGCTCGTATCCCAGCAGCCAGGTCTGCAGCGAGGTGGATTTGCTGTAGATGGTTTCCTCGTCTACGCCGACCGCCGTCAGAATACAATCCTCCTTCTGCAACGAATCATCTTGGGAAAACTCTGGTTCCTTCAAGGGGTAAGTCACTCAGTACATTGTGTCGAAATTATATTCCGCACAGCTTTCGCACATCCATCGGCACATTTTCGGCATACCTTCGGCACAATCTCATACGCATTAGATTGTTGTAAATAAAATGGGAGCACTGCTGAACAACTGTCATTGAAGTTGTTCAGAACATTACGTGCTGTTTGACTGTATGTTCAGGAACATCTTCTAATTGAATATACCAGAGGAACTCAGACCAGCAGTTCACTTATAGATCTAAATACGAAATGTAGGTTCCAGAGTGGGCTCAAGAGAAAGAGGCAGTTAATCAGACCTCATTAGAACCGTTAATTCAAATAATGCTGCAACTTACACACAACAAACAAAATAAGTCTATTCATCACCTTCTAAAGTCGGTCTCCAACAATGCTTCCCACCGGTTTCAACTCTTTCCGGCCGAAAGGCTAGGTTTCTGGTCTGCCTTTGAGGGCATTATAAAACACTAAAACACAGGAATTTTATTTCCCTATGGATCACAAAACAGAAATACCGGGTTGCCGGGATGGGTGTTTTAAAAACAATCGCACCTTGCTCTATGACCGGCACAATCGGCATACTTGCGGCACACTGACAAAAAAGATGACCCAAGATTGGTGTGCGGAGTGACCTACCCCTTGGGTTCCTTCCAGTTGGAGTAGAGGCGTTTTATTCGTCGGTAGAAGGAATCTTTATCAAGTACGACATTCGACATAGTCGGGGCCGTTGTGAATGCTAACCAAAACATTTAAGCTGTCAGCAGGCTTGATGGTGCCTCACTCGCGAATTTGAAATAGTAATAGAAATAGCCAAGCGTAGCATTTTTCTGATTGTCAATGCCTACTGCCAAATCATTCCACTGAGCTTCAGAGCTTGTGAGCGAAGGGGGATAAAATGAGAGTGAGGTTTGCTGCTGCAAGACAAGAGTGTTTTAAAACCTCTAGTGAGTTTGAGGAGTTTCATCAAGCCTGGCTGTCAGAAATACCGGGTTGCCATATGTACCATAATATTCGTATTTTACAAAAAAAAAATGCAGCTTTCTCAAAGACAGGCACTGCCGGCATAATCGGCACACCTATGGCACACTTGCGGCACACTTGCGGCACACTTGCGGCACACTGAGAAAATTGTTAACCCAAGATTGGTGCGTGAAGTGACCTACCCTTTGGTTAAAAAGCATAAATATTAATGGGAAAACATATAAACGTTTTGCGCTCTCTGTCTACAGACCGTGAAAAAAAAATACAATCAATGTTTTGCAATGCAAAATCCCATTTCTTTAATATCATTATATTTTTTTCTGAAGCCTTTTTTTTAATTAACTTTCATTTGATACTTTGGTCTTTGAAATCTGTCGGATGGTTCAAAAATTATAAATTTTTTAACAAAGTCATTTAAAAAAATCGATTCTTAGACCACCCCACCATGGAAATGGTCATCCTTATGACAAAATAAAATAAAGTTGGATACAATATTTTGCGATAAGGAACAAACTACCATTTTTTATGAAATTCTGCGAACCATTTTATCGTTTTGCTATGGAATGGTAGAGGGAACATATCTAAGCGTGCTGTGCTCGTGGCTGGATGTAATTGATTTCTTCAGTCGCAAGTTGACAATTAGGACACAGACATTATAGTATAAAACAACGTCACTGTCGAGTGTTGACGTTTTGCCAATCGTTGTTAAGGTTGGCTACATAGCTTATGCCTTGTTCAGACTGGAGAGTTATAACATGTTATAACCATAGAGGTAACTCTAAGACTAGAGGGTCCCGAAGAAACGTGCTCAACTTTTTGGCTCAGCTCTGGTACTCTCTTCGGTCCCAAGCTAATCGATTCACCCCTCGAAACAGAAAAAAACCAATAACCCCTCATGTTATCTGTCAAACTTTCATAGCGAATCAAAACAAACATTGCGTAGTACTAGAATATCGACTGGAATGGGGTACGTTAATCGTTTGCTTGGGACCAATAGGCTAGTCAAGTAGTGAGCCAATTTAAAATCGTTAGTTTCGTATTGATTGTTGCTATAACGGTTGTCAAATAATTGCAATTTCAAGACCAACAATAGAAATGTCCTTAACTCCATTTTGTAAACAAACCTTGTAAGGCCATTTTCTCGCGAACCGAAACCTTTATTCGCAAACCTAAACCACAATCGGGTTGAGGAGAATTTCCCCTACCTGTTCATTGCCTTTGCGGTTCGCGAGAAAATGACCTTACAAGGTTTGTTTACAAAATGGAGTTAAGGCCATTTCAATTGTTGGTCTTGATATGTGAGAGCAAGGAAAATACACAACAAATCGCTGTCAAACTCATTTTGACAGAACTAATTGCATACATTTTTAGGTTAGCCAGAGGAAAATAATAAACAACTTTACACAGCGATACACCCGCTAGTGTGCGTGCGTGAAACGTCACTAATCTCTCTTAGGTGTCATGATGGGTTCGAGGATCATGTCTTGCCAGTTTTCGAAAAAATCCAAGAAAAAATCTGTAAGTATTTTATACACCATGAATCTTCTCAAAACCAATAAATCTCATCCAATTCGTAGCGAAACTCCCAGCTGGTTTTGATTCCACATTATGGTCGGTAGAGAAGGTCTTGTCAAGGTCGGTTACCTCTAGCGACCATAGGTCAAATGACTGGAAGATGTGGTCGTCCAATTGGACGGTACGGTATGGAATGCGAAACTGTATGGACGAAAATCCTCTGAACGATGACAAAGTTTGTCATGCAGAATAAACAATAATGAAAAAACAAGCGTCGTTTAGGTTCAAATCCCAGTCTTGCAAAGGGTCTTCCGGGATCGAAATTTCATCGTTTCCCATGCGGTTTTCCTCAGATATTCTTGGTCATTGGTTTGAATTGCGTATGGACAACGGTGGGAAATCCACAAGACTTTATAGGGATGTCCATACAAGTACCTGTACTGCTGGAGGATGTTGATACGTTAACCTCAAATATTCCATAAGATCTGGACCTTTGGACAGTTGCCTTAGCGCAATAGAATAGGATTCATAGGAACAGATCAGTGCAATTACATTGCACTCCTTGAGTCCGACATCAAGCACACACATTTCTGTTCGACAGAAGAGAACTAGTTTATCTCAAGAGGCCCCGATGCGATGGGTGGCCTACAGATCAGTTCATGGAAAGTCAGCAAGGGCTTGCTCACTCTATAACATTTGATTTGCGGAAGAAGCGAAACTTAGCAACTTGCTGTTCAACAACAACTACAGGGTTCTGCCTGCAGTAGAACCATAGAGGTAACTCTAAGACCAGAAGCTCCCGAAGAAACGTGCTCATCTTTTTGGCTCAGCTCTGGTACTATCTTCAGTCCCAAGCTAATCGATGCACCCCTCAAAACATAGGAAATTCCACGAACCCCTCATTTTGTCTGTCAAACTTTCATAGCTAATCAAAACAAACATAGTGTAGTACTAGAAGTTCAACTAGAATAGGGTACGTTAATCGTTTGCTTGGGACTAATAGCATAGAGGTAACTCTAAGACCACTGGGTCCCGAAGAAAATCATTATTATTTTTGGCTCACTCAGTACCAGAACAACGGTCCCAAGCAGTCCCAAGCTATTTCACTCACCCCTGCATGTTCTGCATGAATCCACACACCCCTGATGTTATCTGTCAAACTTTCATAGCGAATCAAAACAAACATAGTGTAGTAATAGAATTTCAACTAGAATAGGGTACGTTAATCGTTTGCTTGGGACCAATAGGCTACTAAAGTGGTGAGCCAATTTAAAATCGTTAGTTTCGTATTGATTGTTGCTAATAGGCTAGCCAAGTAGTGAGCCAATTTAAAATCGTTAGTTTCCACTGGGTGGTGGAACTGCAAATGCGAAGCTTATCTAAATCACAAACCTGATCTGGAGTGGGTGGATATTTGATGGTTTTCATTGGTAGTACATTGCGGAAAACACAGCAAAACGATAGGTTTAGGTGATGTCTTCGAGGTTACGTACTTCTGAGGCGATCAGATGCCCTAGTTAGAGGACGTTGTTTCTAGGGTGGGATTGAACTTTAAACCGTTTGAATTCTGGTTTTGATTTTATCGGGGAGCATGTAACAGGCAGCTGGAGGAAATTTCGTCCACCATTAATCAGGTTACCCTTTCGTTTCTGCACACGTTTCTTTTGGACGGATCTAACCTTTGCTGGATGTAGTTACGGGTGATTTTAACAAGATGCAAAGGAACGTTGAAGCTACAAAGCTTACATACAAGCCCATCGTGCCAGACAGCCACGGATATGGCCTGTTAGACTCCTTCCAACGACCGGTCGATGTCATCTACGGTGTCAATCGGCGGATCTTCGTCGATGCCAACCACACGTCCAAACTGCACCCAGTTGACGTGGTGGTAGTCTTTACGCCGTCCCCTTCTAGCAGGAACCACGTTGATACCGACTTCAGCCACCACCAGTTAGTGGTCAGAGCTGAGATAGTTGTGCACCTCCGGTTTGGATAGTCCGATGTTCGACAGGAAAAAGTCCAGGGTGGAGGGATTTCCCGCCGGAGAGATGAAAGCTGGTTCGTCTGGAAACTGCACGGTGTACAGTTCAGTGTACAGAG